AGTCTTCACATCTTGATATCACAAAAAAAAAATGAAAGTGCTATAAAACTCTCGACAAGTGTACAAGTATTCAATCTTTTGTGTTTTTATGTGCCACACTCATTTGAAAGTGAGAATAATAGGCGAGAAAAAGTGAGAAACATTAATCAAAGCAGCATTCTGGGGCAGCCAACATGGGTATGCCATGCGGTCTACTTATTATAGGGATTATAGGGATTAAAATTGAAAAAATCTATAATATTTCAACTCGAAATGCAAGCAAATATAAGATTGAATATATAAGACTGTAAATATGATGGCAAATATAAAAATATAATTATATATACAACTGTAAATTGAAGAATGACAATATAAGACAATATGTACATATATAAGCCTGTAAATCGAAGAGTGGAAATTTAAGACAATATGTATAAGACTGTCAATGAAGACTGCAAAGGTATAAAACTTCAAAAGTATCTAAAGCTACCTATAAATGACTACAAATATAAGACTATTCATATAAGATTACATATTAAAGTATACAAATGGGTGATTTCTATATAATGTCTAATAATATAAGTTTGCAAATATAAGTGTGAAAACGTAAGCTTGCAAGTATAAGACTTTTTGTGTATACGACTTTAAATATAAAAATATGAAAAGTATTATACAGGAAATATAAGACTGTAATTTTATAAGACTTCAAATATAAAATTGCGCAAATATAAGACACGAAATAGACTAGAAGAGTATAAGACTTCAGGTGTATCAAATTGCAAAAATATAAGACAGCAAAAATAAGACTTGAAAAGAGACTATAAATGTATAAGACTTCATATAAAAAAGACTGCAAGTATACTGTGCATATAGAATTGCATTCTATTGAAGCCTACAAGTATAAGATTTCAATGCTCTTAGATTTCAAATATAAGTATATATAGTGAAAACGCAAGCTTGCAAAAAATTGACTTTAAATATGAAATATAACTCTGTAAATGTAAATCTGCTAAAATATAAGAACGAATGTTAAGACTTTAAATATAAAACTATTGATATAAGCCTACAATATAAGACAGTCCATATAAGATTGCAAATTGAATTCGACGAATATTCTACTGCACCGGCAGGCACACAGTCCACACGTGATTAGTATATACTTACAGGGTATAAAGTAGGGCAATACGCAATGAGAAATTAACTCTCAGCTCGTGCTGTTTATTTATAAGCATCGCTAGTTAACGCGATATCATTTAATCTTTGCAATTCAGCGAATTCTTGTCCCACTTTTTATGTATTTTTTTTTTCTTTCATTCTTTTTTTTTTGGTATTTTATTTTGTATTTTGATGATAATAATTTTTTATGGTTTGTTGGGGGTCTGATTTACTAAGAGCGACAGCGTCGAGGACAGGCAATTTAACTAGAACAGCCTGGCTGCAGCCACAGCGCCAAGGACATCAACAGCATCAACAACATGAACATGAACATGAACAGGGACATGGACATGAACATGGACGCGGACATGGATATGGACAGGGAAGCTGCGTCTGACAGTCATCCGTCTCTCTAGACTCAGACCCAGGCGCCCCATTAGGCGTGTGCATAGCTTTTGTCTTTGCTGTCTTTATCAACACTGCCAACGTTTTCCTCTGTTTCTTCCTCTTCTTCTTCTTCTTCTTCGTCTTCTTCTGCTGCTGCTGCCTAGTGTATGTGTGTGTGTGTGTGTACATTCGCTTCTTGTCTTGTTTTGTTACTTATTTTGCTTTCGCCTTCATTTCCACTCAGTTCAAGTGTTTTGCATTTCATGCTTTTCACAAGATAAAAGACAACTTTTCCCTTCTCTTGCCTCTTTCCTTCTCCTCCTTCTCCTCCTGCTGTTGTTGTTGTTGTTGTTGTCAGTGTTGCCTTCGTCTTCGTCATTATCATCTGCGCTGCATCATGACAGTTGGCGTCCTTTTAAAAAATTAACACAGTAGCCAGCCCGCCAACAACAACAATTCAAACGGCAACAAGAGAAGCCAACATTGAGTGGCAAAAGGAAAGCAAAGGGCTGTGCTATAGATATCCTATGATTTAATAAAACTTTTTAGCTCTAATTAAACTTTGATCCCACAAAATATTATATATACCATCATGGCGAACAATTGACCAGATTAGAGGATATATAGTACTTCTATTAGATATTCCGTATTATCATCTAACTTAAAAAAGTCCAATTTATTTTTTAACTTTAATTGAACTTTGACTCTACAAAATATCATATAACTCAGGTAAATCCTTTAATTGCACTCTGACACTCTAAAATATCATTTTACATCATAGCTCACAAATTACCTGATTACAGGGTATATATAACTTTATTATACTTTACTTTTGATTTTAATTACTACAATATATTATACGAAATCATAATTAATAATATTCCCAATTACAGGGTATATAACATATAATTTATATTATTTATCCAACAAATTCTGTTTGTCTTTTACAAACATATGCATTATTTCAATATACCCGTCTTCACATTTGTACAACTGCAGGGTATCACAGCCTGGCATTTATAGCCATATAAAAGTTGTGTGCTAAATACTTAACGCGGAATGACCCGAATTAAGAGTAAGTAAAAACTTTTCACGGCAGCCCCGAGAACTTTATGCTCATTACGTTTTTATATCCACGACGATGGAATTGTATCTCAGTGTGACCATATCTGACACCATCACCCCTACACTTTGGCTATTCGGCAATTGTAAGGCACACATCCAAATTGAACATATCTTACATGAGCTGCTCGTTGCCCGGACTGCAGAGTCCAATGTCCACAATTGGAACCGGCTGCAGCTGCTGCTGAGCCTGCTCTGGCACAAGAGTCAGAAGCCTCAGTCAATATGAACTTACGTACGGCATCCGCTTCTCGCTTGACAAATATTTGAACTTACGCCCCGACAATACACTCAATGAGCACACACAGAGCGAGAGAGAAAGAGAGACGCCTGCATTGGCTGAAGGAGCTTTCTAGGTAATCCCTTTGGCTGGGTCAGGCTGCAGCAAATACATCAGCCCCTTGACAATGACAATTGCAAATATTGCCCAGTCAACTAAAGCATATGCTATTGTTAACATGCTCAGCCGCAAAAGTGCTTCAATGCAGCCTTGAAATCTCACTTGACGTAGTTCTGCTTTGAATATCTTGTTAGAGAAAAGTATGATAAATAATTAAGCACCGCTATGCGAATTGCATGGAGAGAAAGATAAAGACAGATGGTAAGCCATCAGGGACATCAGCCATGAGAATCGCATGGAGGGGACATTCAAAGAAAAGCTGGAAGCAATGCGAAATGCATAAAGAAATGATGCAAAGTGAAAGTAACAAAGAAGGAGACAAATGGCTAGCCATCAGAGACAGCTATGAGAATTGCATGGATAGGTAGTCAAAGCAAAGCTGGAAGCAATGAGAATTGCATAGAGAGGTTATACAAAGCAAAGATTATTTGCCATTGCCGGAAGCTAGGACAAGTGCATAAAGAAGTTATTCAAATGAAAGACTATTTGATATTTCTGGAAGAGAGATTATGAAGACAGATGATGAGCCATCAATGGCAAGTGAGAATTGCAGAGAGAGGCTATAGAAATAAAGATGTATAGATGGATGTATAGATGACTCGCCATCTTGTCTATTGAGAGAGAGGCTATACAAAGCTGGTAGCTATGAGTACCAAATATTATTTACTATGAAGCAAACTGCTTGCAAAGTAGAAATGATTAAGTCAGTAACTTTATGACAGCCTTTTTTGATGACTTCATAACTATAATCATAGCTAAGAGCTAAAACTTTCGAGCACCATTATTAGTTTTGTTCAAGATAAAACAACATATAGTTAAGTGTATCTGAGCAGTTATCTTCATGACGTTTATAAGACGACTTCATTCGAGTATTTTTACAATCGCTTCCGACTTGTAAGTCGAGCTGTGAGACAAGTTGTTGCACTTCATCTAACGCTTAGCAGATCTTAACAATTTTCTACTACAATTCTATGTAGTATAAATGATAATTATATATATTGCATATAGAACCTGCAAAGCTGAGCTTTAGAGATGTGAAATGAGTTCAGAAATAGTAGAAATTAATCAAGTCACGTCGTATGCACATTTAATTCACATTGTATATAGACTTAGCTTATATGCATATACAATCTTGTAGCAAATTATACAGATGAGAACATATTTGTAAGCCCGATGGAAAATATAGAAAAAATATTCAATATAATACAATGAAATATAATAAAATATAGTATAATATAAAAGTAAAAATAATAATGTAAATATTATTGATCAATTCGATTATCTATATTTATCTCTAGCATAGTGAACGATAAAACTAATTTCTATATGCTTACATCAACTCTAAGTTCAATTAAAACGTCATCAAAAAAATATATTAGAGTATTTCTTCTTTGACTAGAAACGCATTAGATTTGCTAAATGAAATATAAATATACAAATACATATATATACTACAAATATATCTCATTATATATTGTCTATAATGAGAAAACGAGCATTCATTAACTTATTCGAAGAAATAAAGAGCAAGAGAGGGAGAGAGAGAGAGAGAGATTCTTTACTTATAATATAATAAGCCTCAATCAGATGATTTCATTAATTTCCTATATGCGAATGACAGACGACAATAGGCACACTTGTAGCCCCTACAATACCTTTGACTATTGCTGAGCCGGCTCGTCAAGTCAGTCGAGAGTTGGGCTGACCTGGCGGTCAACGATGAGTGACAAGCGAATGAGCCAAGACACGACAACGACGCGACTAAGGTAAGCCGACGTATGCTCGCTGGCTATCAATAAGCTCGACTCAATTTCTGATTGAATTTGATAAGCGGACGCACACACGCAACCCCACGCCCAGTAGCCACACGCAAAGGGGTAACAGCTCGAGCAATTGACTGACGGCGATCTGTGAGCGTACAACTATTTAAGGCCTTGACAGAGGGCTCGATGAGCACAGAGCCAGCTGAGCTTTTCCCCCGGGCACAGGCAGCAGCAGCATGGAACGTTGGCAGAATCGGGTCGCTGTCGTGACGGGCACCAGCTCGGGCATTGGCTCGGCCATTGCCTTGGATCTGATCGAAGCTGGCGTCATTGTCGTGGGGCTGGCGCGTCGCGTAGAGCGGGTAAAGGACTTGCAGAGATCACTGCCGGCCGCCCGACGCGACAGGCTGATACCCATGCACTGTGACGTGGGCAGCGAGAGTTCGGTGAAGGAGGCATTCGATGCGATCGAAAGCCAGCTGGGCACCATCGACATATTGGTGAACAATGCGGGCACGCTACAAAATGGCCGGCTAGTGGACATGCCCATTGCCCTCGCCCAGCAGACGGTGCAGACGAACATCATGGGCATCATCAATTGCACGCAGCGCGCCTTCCGCTCGATGCAGCAGCGCAACTTCGATGGCCACATCATCCTGATCAATAGCATTTTGGGCCACAAGCTGTTCGCTCCGCCCGCAGCTGGTGCGCCGGAAATCAATGTCTATCCGCCCACCAAGCATGCGGTCACCGCTCTGGCCGAAATGTATCGCCAGGAGCTGCTGGGCATGGGCACACGTATTAAGATAACGGTATGCTCGACTACTATATACCCTACATCATTTCATTTCCTCATTTCATTCATTCACAGAGCATTAGTCCGGGCGTAACGGATACGGAAATTTTGCCGGATTGCATTCGTAAGGTGAGCAACAAAACAATGCTAAACGCTAAGGATATTTCGTCGGCTGTGATGTTCACACTTGCCACGCCTCCGCATATGCAGGTCCATGAGATGATTATCAAGCCAATGGGGGAGATTCTATAAATATTCGCTTTATAGCCAAATTCATCTCCATTTATGCTTATCTATGGATAAATCTTTTCTTTTCGTATTTTTGTTTGAGAACTTTGCAATAAATTGGATCTTGTAGCACGTCAATCAAGCGACTTGTATTTAATTCATATTTTTGCTTTTGGCTTGGCAACAAGTTTTGATAGGACTACGCATGGATCTACCCTTTAAATATGCTGTCATATGGGGTATATTTATTTAGTAAATTATTTTTGTTATCTATGCAAAAGAGTTGAATTCTGAGGTATAGGAAATCCAAAGACATTTTTTCCTTCACACAATATATGAAAAGAATTTTGTATTTTAGCTAGAATATATGTATTTAGTATATGTTATCATTGTCCTTTTCTACCAAATTATGAACGAAGCTGTTTGTGGTTCAGGTGCCTCGCATATATATCGCAACCGGGCCGAACAACTACAATCGTTCAATCCCTCCGCTGCGGACTTCGATGGACGCCAGCCCAGCTCATCGCAGTGTTCATTGTTCTTGTAATTGTCCGGATTATTGACGGTCCATAGATTTAAATTTATTGGCTTGCCAGTTGCGAACCACACATGTGATCCTTCCGCGCCCAGATCAGTGCCCGAGGTCCAATATCTATTGGTATCCCTTACAGACCTTCGGTAATTCATGATCAGAGACCATTCTTCATTGGTCTCGATACTAATAAGATGCGCGTTCATCTGGCGGCAAATGGTAAAGGCATCGAACCAATTCCTTGTCGTCGTATTCTCAAAATAGTAATATCCGTTGCCGATTTTCACGAACGGAGCAGTCGTTACATCGGTATTAGTGGGAAAGCCTAACAAACACAAGTCGATAATCAACTCCATTTCATTACAATGGCAACTGCTTACCCTTGTGAACGATTGGGGTTATAGTATATGCCCAGGAGCATACAAATAAAAATCCCGAAAAGAGGAATAGACCTACCGAATATCTTTGCATTTTGAACTGCATTGCGGCTTCCAGTTCTACGGGGTTTTTATAGGCCCGAGAAGCAGAATTTCGCATATGAGGGAGATAAGAGTTCCATTCACAGCGCAAATATTGGATTATTTAATTCCTTATAAAAGCGGAGATAAAATTATATTACACCAACAACTGTTTACCAAGTACTCAAAACATTCTGTCGGCAGAAGCTTAACATAATTAGAAGCGAACTCTTGTGGTCTAAATATGTTATTCATTTGAACTTATTGCAAAACTCGTGTCAAAACTATTCCCCAAATACGCAATTATGCTATGCAAAAGAATTAATTTCTAGATATAATGACAGCCTAATTGCTGTTTGCGACAGCCAAGATAATGGATTGTGATTGAGGACGAGTGCGGAGTGTAGAAAAAGTTTGCCCTCGGCAAAAGCTGGGCCGTCAAAACAACTTAGATGGCACTCAGAGCACGGATGGAGTGAGGCAAACATGAGATAGACAGACAGATATAGCATAGATAAACATTGATAGACGGCCGAAACAAGTGGACAAAAACCCGGAAAAGAAAGCTCCATTCAGTGCGAGATGCCCCAAAGCGAACCCATTTTTGTATCAATGCCGAACAAATACGATTAAAAAGCTACTAAAGGACAAAGGGGCGTGTTTGTATAAACGATTTTTCTGTAAAGCACGCAAAAGTGTTGACAATGACAATGACAATGACAATGACAATGACAATGACAATGACAATGACAA